ACATGTGTATACATGTGTGCCGGCATAGCGCGTTTTACTCGAGCTTACTGTTCATGCAAAGACTATTGATCAATAGTGGTCCGTATGCGCGGGAAAACCAGCGACATTTATGGCAATGCGTCTTATACGATATCTGATGAAACGTCGGTGGGTGGGTGGTGGTCTGGCCCAACCGAGAAGACCTGATACACCGATTCCTGTCGCTTTAGTCGCTTACACGCTGCCAACTCATCAACAGCCTTTAGCAGCCTTCATCACTGCAACGACCGTTACTGCTGTCCTGGTATTCCCCTGAATATCACTCCATCAACATGTGACGTTACTGTATTCTATTAGCTCCACTCCTCTAATACCAGTTCCCCATCCCAAGATCACACACGTAACTACATCCCTGCGTGGCATTCCTGATGCCGCTCCCCAACGTGTGCCATTCGAATGGCGGAGATCTCCTAAACCCAATATAGTACGTTTGAAAAATCTCCGGCTGACTCGTATAGCTTCAGATCGGTTTGCATCAGCGCTGGGTGCTTGCTGGTGCAGCTTCTCCTGTACGTGACTCTTGCTGCTGCTATTTAATCTACTCCGCTATAGCCGTCTTAGACACAGGCACTTGGAGCGTTTCAATAAAATATAATGCTAAATAAATACGAAATCTATTTACTACCAAAGTCTTAATGTTTCTCTACTCTCTTTCAACCTATTATTGCCGACAATTCCTGCTAAATGGGCCTTTCCCAATGCCTGCATCTTGACGCACTGTCACACGCTGGCCACCCGGCACGCTAGCTTCTGCCCCACTGACACTAAATCTTAAAAACTATATAATTATATGTCGTTCACGTTGATACAGCCAGCTAAGGTGCGTGTCTTCGTCGTGTTTAGCAGAATGAGCATTTGACCGAATTTACACGGTGCTTATAGGCGAATAGAGTAGCAGAAACATTAAGGATTTGGCTATTGTAAATAATTTCGCTGTTTATTTACCATTTATTTCTGTTTATAAGGACGTTCCAGGTGCTGTGGTCTGTAGACGAGAGCAGCTAGCGGATGTGATAACAATCTTGCTAGGCCCCACTCAGACGGTGCGCAGCGCTGACACAGACACAGACCAACACGCACGCACGCCACGACACGCACACAGCAATGCACAACAACACACACCACACACACACACACACACATGCCAACACACACACCACGCGGCGCGCACAACACACACGCGCACGCCACGCCACACAACGCACGCACGGCACACACGACGACGCACACACACCGCACGCCGCAGTACGCCGACGCAGCACGCACACGACACACACACACACACACACACACACACACACACACACACACACTCACACAAAACATCAGATGCAGCACGTGCGTGTAGTAGGCGATTAGTACGGCCATCGTCCTTGAAACAATTGAAATCTCCCTTCACACGGCGCGCCCGATTCATGTCGTACGCCGGATGCAGACATATTACATGGAAATTGCCATGAATCTCGGCAACAGAAAATCTAATTAAACGAGCGTGAATGCATCGTCGCTGGATCGTTAGAGAAAGCAATCGTTATCGCCTTGATAACGGCAAAGTTGCTTTAATCTCTAAACGACCGCGCCCTCGTTGTGTATATTATTATCGTGAGAAAGCTTATCGTTACATAAGAATGACCAGTATAATATTCATCAGTGGTTTCTCCTATTCGTGCGCATCAGTCGTTGGTTCTACAAGGATATGTAATCAGTCTACAGGCAGCCTATACTATAGACACCGTATAACTTCTCGGTTTCGCTTAGTTATGTCAGTATATTACTAACGTCCTTGTCGCACCAAGGATGGCTAATGCTGAGTGCAGTCTTTAATTCGAACGCTGCCATTACGAGAGGCTGCACAGGCTCATTACGATAGGCACCGTATCCCGCAGGGACGGCCATTCTGACTGAAAATACATACAAACCGCAGCAATTAATAATAGTTACACGCACGCACTGCATGGCCATGCCTCGCGCACGGGCAACAACGGCGTCTTCATCCGCCACGTTCCTATATCAGGTCATGATAACAGAAGTCATGCTGCGAACGTGACACCGACTGGAATTAATTAATACAACCTCCGACTGAGCTGCTTTGTGATTTTATGAAATTTATGTGTACGTTCGTTCGTTCGTGCGTGCGGGCGCGCGCGCGTGTGTGTATGTGTGTGTGCGTGCGTACGTGCGTGTGTGCTTGCGTGCGTGCGTGCGTGTGCGTGTGCGTGTGCGCGCGCGTGTGTGTGTGTGCGTGCGTGCGTGCGCACGTGCGCGCGTGCGTGTGTTGCACTTATTTAACTGCTCATGCACTGTCGGTGTTCCGCTTGTACTTGACTCGAGCGTGCCGCATGAACACCCTTCACTAAAAGTTGTCGCATAGTTTTTCTTATCTGAAATTAATCGCACCGAAAGTATTCCTCTGGGGATCCCAAGACCACATCACAGTTCACATTCTACACGCACAAATCCTTCCTATATATAGGGCTTGCGGTAGACATCCAGTCAGCCGATGTCGGCGCTGAGGAATACGCGACGGGAGTATAGAAGATCAAGCCACACGTGAGGCTCTTCGCTCTTAGACACACATGCTGAACATGATGTAAACGTCAGACACACAGTGCAGCGTTTGTTCGTTCCACGCTAACGTTAGTCGCAGCGAGGCGGTCGCTGTGTGCGAAGGCGATCCGAGTGCAATATGATAGTTGACAATTTTCGTAAACAATCTACGTGATTTCACCGTTACTGTCCTATCGTTAATTTTATTTTTTTTAGTTATCGTTTAGTTTATTTTCGTTTTTTTTATCACGTACAAACATGGTGTCGGAACGCAACACGCCAGGGGAACGTGTATACCGTCCATACAGCTAACGTGCTCGCCAAAATATTTCTAAATACACGACGTTTTTTTACGACTCGAGAAAACATCTCATCTTAAAGTGACTACGTCACGTATTTTCTATGGTAAAATTTGTAAAATTTTTGTTGCCATTTTTTTACATTAAAAGTAAGAACTAACGGGACTAAACGTATCGTCAAATTCTTACCTGATAAGATTGTTTCTCAACTAGCTAAAAATCCAAAAAACCTGGACGATTTGATATTAGTGTTCATAACATAAATTGCTTGCTATGGGCTATGTATGAGTCACGAGTGTATGTTCACATCGAACAATATAGTAAAATAAGAAGTATAATGCAGCAATTTGACCATAAAAAGTGAACAGAATCAGATTTTTTTTTTACCATTTACGGTGACATAATCACTTTAAACAATACGGCGTAGGGTGAATATTATGTTCGTAGAACCAGTTGATGAGTATGTGAATGGATTTTTGATGGTATTTGAACGAATTCCGATGAGTTGACGATGGCCGAAAATTTGAACAGATTACTATGACCGAAGGGCTGAGGCTGTTGTTGATAACATCAAGAGCTAAGCATTAATTACAATTCATTACGATTATGTAACACAGATACTTGTGTTATTAGCTCTTGATAACATGCCCTTGTATGAAACGTTTCCAAATATACGTTCACTGGTGATCCGTGAGCAGCAGAACGTGAATTTTGATGGTGTTACAATAAAAAATGTAAATACAACGCTTCGGTAACAGCAGATAATCACGTGAATTATTCGCTTTCATATACAATTGCGTTGAGAAAATACGGCCCCATGCAGGCTTGAAATTAACGCACATGCAAAATTTACGTTTCACATGGGGGGCGGTCAGTTAGGTTTCTGGCGTGCGCTGCCTGTTAAATTTCATTTTCCATAAAATGTAATGATCCATGTGTGCCGACCAGCTGTTTTCTACACGGACTTACAGTTTGCGTGAAGCTTCAGCGCAAGTACAGAGGTTTAGCGTAAGCACGGCATTCGTTCGGCTGACAGACAGCAGACTGTAAAATACGAAACATTACCGTATACGCTTGCCGATCAACGCCTTGCCGCGAACCTTGCTTTCTGTGTGTTAATGTACACGGCTTCAATAAATACAGACTGTGTTTGTGAAACCTTCCGTAACAGTCTGCTCGCGCGCAAGCGCTAGTGAGAGAACGATCCTCGTCTCTTTGACAGTGTCTATGGTACAGCGCTTAGCATGCCCGTCATGTTTTGACACGGGAATTACATTAAATATGTAATTTATATTCGAACGTACTGCGGTAGTTCAGTGGTTATTGTCACCATATTTCACTGCGAGTTCTATCCGGGGCATGGCAGTGTATATTCTCAAGGTGTAAATAACATTGAGACGGAACTACGTAAAATGTAAATGTAGTGGCCTACGTGGCTCGGATGACTACGTAAAATGGCGGGCCCGTCTCTAGTAATGGGGATTAAAATGAAACGCTGGGGATGGAAGTCCCTAACTAAAACCCGGGCCCCTATGACGGGGGTTGGACATGGAACCAATCCTCCCGTTCTGTAACAAAAGGTTATTTGGGGTGACGGGGTGATGGGCGATGACGGTAATTTGGAACTAATTTCTAGCCCTATTCTCCACGTGGAGAAAAAGGAACCCTGTCATTTATTTGTTTCTTTGTACATCCCTACGTTCATGTTTTCCTTAAAATGATATTTACGTGGGTGTGTGTGTGTGTGTGTGCGTGCGTGCGTGCGTGAGTGAGTGAGTGAGTGAGTGCGTGAGTGAGTGCGTAAGTGCGTGCGTGCGTGCGTGTGTGTCTGTGTGTATATATACATATATATACATATATATACACATAAATAAATAAATAAATAAATATATATATATATATACGTGCAGTTACACATTCTCAGGCGCCAGCAAGCATGCACGTATGCACGCGCGTATCTGCGTGATTCGCACGCACGTTCACACGAAAATGTATGTTTGTGCGCTTCAATATAATAATATATTGCTGCTGCGTATCGTATAATCACTAGACACCGCGTGCTAGCCATCGCCTAGGTGATATTAACTCGGTGCGTTTTTCCGCTCGCTCTTACAGGATACGGCCACTCGTGCCCGGCGTCCGTGGAAGGCAAGGTGTTCTGCATGGCCTACGCACTCATGGGCATCCCGCTGACGCTCGTCATGTTCCAGGCGATCGGCGAGCGTCTGAACACTTTCACGGCGTACATCCTGAAAAACTGCAAGCGGTGTCTGAAAATGAAGAGCACCGAGGTAACGGAGACGAATCTCATCATGGTGATATCGACTGTGAATTCGATCGTGATGACGTCCGGCGCCGCCTACTTCGACTACTACGAAGACTGGGGCTACATTAACTCCTTCTACTACTGCTTCATCACACTGACGACGATCGGCTTCGGCGACTTCGTCGCGCTGCAGCAGGAGAACGCGCTGAAGGAGACGCCCGAGTACGTCGCCTTCGTGCTCGTGTTCATCCTCTTCGGATTGACAGTCGAGTCTGCGGCGCTGAACTTGCTCGTGCTGCGCTTCATCACGATGAACACCGAGGACGAGAAGCGCGAGGAGGCGGAAGCGCAGGCCGCCGCGCAGGTCGGCGTGCGGCTCGAGGGTGACGTCATCACGGCGAACGGCAGCGTCATTTCTGGCGGCGAACTCGACCTCACCGACGAGTACAACGATACGGTGTCCGTGTGCTCGTGCTCGTGTTACGGCCGTAGTAATAAAAAACACCGATATAAAGTGACCAGATCTCCTGGTCGGATATCGCACTTGTTACCGCTACATACCCTAGATTCAAGCGGCAGAGACGATCTCTATACAAACTACGTAACAGATATAATTGATGAGAAAAACTCGAATATTTCACCGGCGCCTGAAACCCCAAATCGAAAGAGGGCGTCCATCTAGCAGATAGTAGAGTAGAATAGGTTTATACGGCTGTAAGTATTCATTGTACAGTAAAAATATGCCGGGGAGTTTGGTGGCACGTTGTTGCCATGGTGTGGTGTTGATAGTATCTCACAGTCTGTCGAACAATTCGACAGTGGATAAATGCCATTATAAGCGTCGACAAAGAGGTGTCTTTGTTTTGAGAAATTGTTATCATAATCACTCAGGAATGAGTCCTTGCAAGCTGTTATAGACTTTTCCTACATGTCGTTTATTCCAATCTAAGGTTGCTTTAATCGTTATTATATATAAGTACTGATCGACATTTACTAGTTTATGGAGTAATAGTGCCGCATGGAGATTTACACCCATTAGTAACAGCTTTGCCTACAAAACCACAGAATTATGAGGAATCATAGCCGTTGCGCTGACATCACAGAGTGACTGGCTGCGTGGCATTTCTATTGGCATACTATTTTGTAGAAAACGTCTTTTGAAACAACGCCCTATCAAAACACGAACAAACCTGTGGCAATAATCTAACTGACGTAAATTGAAACAGAACTCTCGTTCGTTAATCACATATTTCCGCTGTTAACTGGAATGGTTTGTAGGCTAAAACGTGACAAAATAAGAAACCGTATAGCATTTTTTAAATTCAGCAGCTAAACACAGAAATGGTTCCTTGTCGGTCTGGCCTAGATATAGACGTCCACTATTGGCAGTGACAGCTGGAGAACTCGTTGGTGGGTTTTGCGAAACCTGCATGCATCTATAACTATATTTCGATGTCACAAAAAACGTTCCGAAGATCCTCATGCAAAGAGCTTATATCGGGGCCCTAAGGCAATAACTTTAATCAATTGAATTATTAGTAACTATTTCCTTATGCTTTCTCTCGCGCTGTCAGCGATTGGAAAGGTTCTCTACGTGAAAGCAGGGCGTATATAATTGTGCCTAATCAGCTCCCAGAGAATAATATTCCATTACGTACCTCTCTCATGATCTAACCACTTCCTTTCTTAATCGCTCTATGTTAGCAATTAGCTTTAGAACTACAATCCTTCGCACTGCTACAGGCCTGTGGCAGAGCGAAGGGCTATAGTTATAGAGCTATGTTAGCAATCAAACATCAACATAACGTAGCTAACAGAGACGTTGTAATTTACTGCTGATGCCACGCACAGGAGCCACCCCATGTTATATTGCACGTTAAAAATCACCGAACTTCGCTTAGCATTGAATAGATAATCGGAGCGTGTATACCGCACAGATATTAAAGCTATCTTGATGTACTGCCCTAGTAGGGCTGCAGGGTATGGCATGTCACTTATTATCAAGAGTCCATAATAGAAAATTCTTCTAGAAAATTCTAATTGATTTTTCTATTATGGACCCTTGTTATTATCAAACATATCACGGAAGTCGTTGATGCATTCCACGCATATGCGCGCACGCACGCGCGCACGGCCTCTTTTACCGTATCTTCTATCCCCTTGCGTTAATGCGCACATGCATATGCAATGCAGCTCAAGCTGGTACGCTGTTGCTATAGGTGTCGGTCGTAAATTCATAAAAGACAGGGGGAATTTTATTATAGGATTACACGAGTAGGTGGGTGCGCTGACTAATCCTTCTCAGTACAGTTATAGCAATGTTTCTGCGATCAACGCATTCCCACCGCATATAGAATTTAACTCTTCGTGTAGTATTTATGTTTCTATGCGTTTTAAACATTAAATTACTATCGTGCACCGCGTAACCGCCTGGGTGCATCACTTATGTCAATTGCCTAGTATCAAGCAAGAGGTTGTGTTCAATGCTATGCACTAGATGAACGTCGATAATAGCGGGGCTGAAGCAGAGCAGTAGGGCCAAAGTAGCTGCGTATTATCCGTTGGAACGATACTGGCTCCAACCGCGGTTCAACTACGCCTCAAGTGTACCATGGTTAGTGATTGTTGCGTCACTTGACAAATGGCCCTCTCCGGAGCGGCGCCAGGGAAAGTGACAGGGGGCTACAGCTCCCCCATTAAAAAGGCTTAGCCTCCCTCCCCGTCCGGGGAAAATCAGTAACTAGTCGGAGAATGATCTACGAAAAAAATTTGCAGTCGCTCTTCATCTGTAGCGCTGTGCTATTCCCAACAACGCATGAAAACAGTTAGCAAAATAAAGGGCTGATTTTTGTACGATACATATTATATCAGGAGTCTATCAATATATATTGATAGACTCCTGATTATATTACAATACATCAATAGTCAAAAATATAACAATCATTTCCTGCTAAAAGCGTTCCAGATGCCACTTCAATTCAAGTATTCAAATTCGGGGGAGATTCGGATTCCCTAGGCTTAGGTATAGCCTATGGTTCCGTAGTTGCAGTGTGAGTGTAACTCTCCCTCTCCTATTGGGAACGTTTACCCCCCCCCTTCCCGGACCTTAGATCCTGTGTCGGACACTCTTTGGTGCCACGCCTGCCCCCTTCTTATAAATGTATTTTTTTATCACAGTCTGAACAAATCAAGTCATTCGCGTATCGTCGAAAACTTACCAGGTGGCATTCTAGCTCTGGAGTCGTAGGTTAAACTTTGGTCGCTGGAATTAACTCTGGAATAATTTTGTGCTTAACTGGCATATTTTTGAAAGTATTCATAAGCCCGTTAGTGAAACATTAATAGCCCCACATTGAACAGCACGCAATGAGTATTCGCATTCAAACTGGCTCAGCAGTTTCACGGCTTCTCAGCATTGCGAAGCTGATCAATACGAGTTTCTTCCTTTCAGCTACATGCGAAATACTTGGAAATTTAATACTCTGACGATCTTAATAAGGATTTAACGAGGTAGCGGCTCGAATTCAGGTGTCTATTTTCTCACATCTGGCGTCACACGGTGGTGGTGGGGGGAGCCTGCGTTAACGTGTTTTAAAATATTTTAATTAAAATTGACAAGTAGTGTGTAGAGTTTTATTCACTTACGTAGGTGACATATTTAAAATAATTTTTATCGATATGGGAGCTTATTATCAAATTCTAATTTGGTTCTGTGTGCGTAAAGATAGGGGTTTATTCTGAACTCATATACGGTTTATGTATTTGTGTATTCTACTTGTCGCGGTTACATAACGTTATATAGCTTGAATCCTTCCAAAACTATGGCAATATCAATGTTTTACCTTTCCATTAACATGCCTCTTGATTGTGTATTGTTAGTAGTTAGCATATTTATGTTTCTAGTCATAATACATGATATCTTACAGACATGCACGCAATCTTTCTTATATATTTGTGTGCTAGAGTGGCTATTGGGTGTTCGTTTAATTATGATACAATACTATCCATCTTTTGTATATGAATGAAAAGTACATGTAAATAAATTATTATTGATCTGTGTATTTACGTTTTGTGTAAATACATGTAAATAAATGTTAACAATTGCTGATGTAGCGTATTGTTACTGCACATGCCACAGCGCTGGCGATCGTGTAAGTAGAGCTGGCCTACTTCGGAAGCCATGCGAATGTAAACGGTAGTCCTAGTACACAACTGCTTGCGCTCGTCCCCGTGTACAATGCGTGCTTCGATTCTGAATTGTTGCTAACGTCAAACAGCTGTTGGTGCGTTGCTGGGTTCCCACGTGGACTTGGCAAGCGTATAATAGCGGACACGATGGGAGTGTTGTAGCGCCGTGGCCTCGCGTGTCGCGGGTGTCTAACAAAAGCCCCTTATCCTAAAGGCGTAACTGTTGTCAATTACCATAGTCCCAATTTCGAGGAAAGATAGGTGTTTGCACTCCATACCACTTTCCGAGAATGAACTTTATTCTAAATGACAGTAGTCGGCTATTTCATCGATAAATAAATAATTAAATAAGTAAATAAATAAATATCTATATATCTATATATATATAAATGTAGTCTTTTACCTAGTTTAGGTTAGTTCACATATTAAAAAAAAACAATGCCGCGTGACTTTTGGCACAGAGCGCGTTTGGCTTATAGTGCTGACGTCAATGTTCATCAGCGTGGGCAATAGATTATGAAAGCTAACTATCTGGCGATTAATAATAACTTGTAATAATCTAATTTGAATGTCTGCTGAAGTTTGCCACATAGCGTTGCTAGATAAATGTCAGAACAGTAATTTAGATTATTTCATTACGAATGATATCTTTCTATGGTATTTTTTGCGATAGGGTAAGATAAGGTTCTCTTACGTCCCTATATAAATCGAACTTTAAATAATTTTTATTTGCCAATAATGGTTTTTCATTTTCTTTTTTGCTCTGTGATCAAATCACAGGCACTTGTTGCTTAGGCTGTGTAGCTTCTTTGTGGCAAGCCTTATATTAGGAAAAGCAACAGAGCGGAAGAGTTATATTGATTTTCGATCAATAAATGGTGCGAGCTCTGATGTTAATATGGTGGAAATAGTGTATATCCCGTTTCTCATTAAGTATCGTGTAAAATTTCTTAAATTGAAATATACGATTTTTTACGGAAATAAAACTTTAAAGTAAAACAACCTGTGTTGTGGTTTATAATTAAGCATTGATTTTGTTCATGTTTTATCCCGAACTTAGATAGCGTATCAGTCTTGAAATTCCTGTGTGCGATTGCCTTCGTGTGTTAATTCGATTACCGCAATTCACTATTGTTGACATCGCTTAGTACACATCGGAGAATAATGCCAAGTAAATAACTGCTCGAAGAACTTTCATAATATTTTTCATTGCTTAGTCAGATACATAGTTTGCTATTTTGCTGCAGCTAACACTGAGGTAATAATTATGTAGAAAATGATAGATCTTTTCACATCTACATTTAACAAACATTCGCGGCTTGTCTTGTGTAGTTGTGCTACTTAGTGGGCGACCCTCTTTGAAAATAGTAGCAGTATTGTAAAGAAAATAAAATCTTTTTTTGAAATTTCGATGGAAATTATTATGGAATTCCTCTTTCAGGTTTCTGACGACGTAGTGTAAACTAAAAATATCAAAGTATAGCCTGGGAATGTGCTGCGGAAATATGCGTACGTATGCGCGCATTCAACGTACACACGTGTAAAAATGAGTATTGCATAATTCTAAAAAAATCATGAAGTTGCATGCAAAGATCAGTAATTTAGAAACACCGAATAACTAGTAAGAGCTCCAGTGGGCAGTGTCCGACGTGCACCAAACATGACTCATTGTGTAACACCGTTTATGCACACAACGCAAACTATTCTGCATCATATATGTCTTCGGCGATCTCTTAAATTGGCTATGTCACGAATTAGTCGTCAAACTCCATAAGAGTAGACAAATTGGGTCTTGCCTATTAGCAGACTTTTAACTGATTACTCTGGCACAACAATCATTACAAAATTGTGTCGTTGTTGGCTATAAAACAGCATATGAACAGTAATCGTGCTCCCGCCATCTTCAGATTCGCGATAATGAGGGATGTTCAAACGGTCCCACAGAACGAGTGCACATACGTGATGCAGATTTTTATAGACTGGTACCTATTCAGATAGGAGTCCGGTTTCGCGAGAGTAAAAATCACGCGCTAAGTTTGTTGACATATGTAAGCTATGTCATTTGAAATGTAGATCGGTGCGCATATTGGTGGAAAGAATGCTGTGCGAGTGTTCTATGACATGTTAGTCTTACTATATGCATTTGGTGTTATGCAAGGAGTACCGGAAAGTATCAGAACGGTTGAGAAAATATAAAAACGGTTGATAAAAACACGGAAATCCTCGCTTTAAGAAAATCATTCTATTAACAATGGTAAATTATAAAAGCATTGCTGTATTTTCTCCGACGGGAAATGTAATATTTCAAGAACCTAACTCGGGGTTTCCGTTGTTTCCCAGTAGGCCGTATCTCACTCTTGTTCCTTTATGATGGTCTTTGAGCTAGATTGACTGATCGGCTTCGCTTGCCACTGCCCGGTTTGATATCATCAAGAGTGGATAATAGAGATAAAAGAGTGGATAATAGAGTCTCTATTATCCACTCTTGATATCATCGATATCATCGATGCACATTCATCGAATCAGATATCAGATATCATCAGATATCATCGAAGCACTTCTGATTTGCTGCTAGCCCAACTATATCCAGAATAATGTCTTTTAACATAGTCATAGACCGTCCTTCTTATCTCTAATCGCCAGATTATTTAAATTTCCCATGCCCTTGACGCGATGCTGCTGACTGAGTTGTTGACAGGTTTCCTGCACTGTTATTGGGTGGAGTTTAGAGGTCTGCCAAGCCATTCGACGCTCGTACGCTGGTTGCGTCTTCTACGCCAGAACCCTCCCGTGCTTCATTGAACTCATTTCTTCACTGTAGCCATTATTCAGTGATGGCATGCCTTGGAAGACACAGCTTTTCCGTTCCTCTTCCATTCCTAAGGGATTGTTCACCTACTCTAAAAACATCTGACTGTTTAATTTCCTGGCTGCTGCTTCCACGGGTCATAGCTTATCCAGGACCGTAGCTATAGCGGTGGAGGGGGCAGGACGCAGTTGCCCCCCCCTAGAGAAACGTAGATACATTACATGATCAATGACGGTGACCTTCCCAGAACACAAAACGCACGTGGCTTTGCCCCCCCCCCAAGCAAAAGGGTTAGATACGCTCTTGCTATCTGTAGGTTCCTTGTTGTCTTCCCCTGACCGGGTTTGTAGCTTGTGCCTCCGATCCCTGCCAATATTGTTTTTCATTTCACCACCGCCCTTGTACCTTTTACTGATATCTCTGTTTGTCAACTGTCAAGATTTCTGTGCAGAGATGCAGTTTCTAATTGCCCATTTTCTCGTACGTCTATGGCCGAAGGAGTTCAATGACATCTCTCTGTTTTTTTTATCCGGAGATACGACTGCCCTGCCTACCGTGGTTGTTGAGAGGTAGCGGATTTTCCGTGCTTGGATCTTCTTCTTTCGAGGCTAGTGAAGCTTTCGCTATTATCTCATATCTGCTTGCGTGTGATGCCAAAATAACGCAAATTATGGTCGGAAAAAAACGCAATTGCCATTCATCAGAATCTTCGCTTTCACTGTGACGTCCTTTCAAGTGGCTTGGCTAGACTGAATCACGGCAGCGGTCGCAGGAAATATTCTGGCCGTCTTGCTCTTTTTTCTCTTGTATCTTTTTATTCGGTTTTCGGTCTGTAGTCTCATCAGAATGGCTTACCATAATATTCATCATGCTCTAGCTAGCACCTAATGCTCCTGGGGGTGCACAGATACCACAATGTCCGGTATTGTCTCAGACGAGTGTGATCTATGTGCAGTTGCTAGGTTTCTTTCCGAAATGAGGGTGTCCAATCTCAAAATTCAACTTTTGGGAATTGCATAGACAAACCTACACGCCTGAACTCGCGTGTTGCAACAGTTTTCTGGACATCGACGTATACTCCTCCATCATACGTTTCTCGCTCCTCCATAAATTATATATTTTATAAATAAAATATATCTCATCGTTTCTCGGGAAATTTTAAAGTTATATGACCTCTCGCTCGATTAGTTATTTATTTCCCTGATCCAAGTTGAGCCGACTTAAAATTGGGGCCCATAATTTGCTTCATAACTGGCCAATATGGCAATAACTAGTTCCATAATTAAGCTGCATGTGACTTGATTCTTTACGTTCCTTACGCTCGTACCCAAAATCCAATTGTGTAGTTCATATGTGTTCGTTTGATGATGACCCGCCATCTTGCTGATAGAGTCCTATGTCTTCATAAACCTCATATGCCCTTTTCCATTTCATTTATGCTCGTTTCTGCTTGCCCCATGGCGATAGCTTAATCTTACTCACTGTCTCTGACGCTATTTTCTCACCGAGGAGACTGGTTGGTACTAAGAGATCCTTGTGCAGACCGGTGTTCTTGGAAGTGGCAGAAATTATATTACAATTTTTGTCTTGTCATTTATCTCTATCTGGCCTTGTTTGGACAAAAAGAGAATGGACAGTCACATGCCGTATTTTTCACCGTTGAATCATCCAATCTTTGCGTCAAGCTACCCGTGGTTGTGGCACCTCTGTCCTGTCATAACTAACGAAGGATCGTAGTAGCAGGCACTAGGTGTGGCATGCGACACTCTGGGATTTATTGTCAATCTCGCCGACAGATATCGCTGAGACTGCTCAGTTCATGTGCCTTGACTGAGTTCGTAGAGCTTTGTTTTGCTTTTTTTTTAAAGAATGTTTCGAATTCCGCACGTTGATCTTACAATTTGTATCTTTAGATAATCTTTCAACAAGTCAGGTGCGATGGGACCTGTGCAGCGAGTATAAACGGACAGACATCGATGTGTGTGGTAAAAACATCCGGTAGAAGAAGGCACACTTTATTCTGGAACTGGAATAATTTATACGTCCGCCATAATCAAGACGTGCATTACTAGTACTCAGTAATACAAGGCACGGGTTGTCTCCAGAAGACTGTGGTGTTAGTTTGAGTGTGTAATTTCGAAGAAGCCAATAGTGATCATACAAAAGTAAATCGACGGGACAGCCAGTGGACAAAAACCTACGGTTGGGAAATACCAAATAAATACTGATGAGTACTATCAGAACTGAGCAAGTGCTGAATGTGAGAAACAGTATATATCATATTCCAGAATGACGCTGATTTTTTGTCTTATGTCTATGCTATCTGTATAGGACGCAAATCATGATGCTAGTAATGAACGAAACGGGCCAGTGCGTATAATATAGTTACCCGTGCGCAGAGGGGAATATCAAGTGTGATATTTCCTATAGCGAATCTCTTAGTAAATTATTAGGGTAACAACCGCAAATCTCACGAACATTATCTACGATAATACTTGCTCGGACAAGACACGCAATTACAGCCTCAAACCATGTTCTCAGAATACACACGAGTTTATTAGCTGGTACCCCTATTCGTTGTAATACATTCAGGTGGCTTGGCATATACGTGTGTGCGGCTGTACTGACTCCGTAGAACGCAAAATCGTGCATGCGTGCTAGGTAACTTGATGATCACACTGGCAGGGATTCCCAGTGGCCGCGAGCGAATGCTGTAGCTTGACGTCTTCTTGTCTAGCTGAAGGAAAAACAGCCAATCTGGCGCCATTACGACATGAAGGCATTCATCGTTGGGTAAAAACAGTAGCTGATAATTAGACGAACGCGCTCATCAATCTTTAGACTCCTTTCAACCTTGACATAGCTGCCGTCAAACATATACATACGTATTACACGCACGCATGCACGCACGGACGCACATACACGCAATAACGCACGCAGGCACCAGGCAAGCACGCACGCACGCATATATGCATGCGTGTACGTACATCGAATTTCCGCACATCTTTTAATCTTAGTTGACTGTGTCTGCTGCATCGACCGAACCAACGAAAATCGAGAAACGATCCTAATTCAGTTACGTACATCAACAAACCTTGATATCTGATGCTGCGCGGCGCCCATCTCTTGGAAAGGAGGCTGGGGCAGGAAACCCGCTAGTGCTCGCCAGCTAGAAGCGAAACGACTC